TTAGTCTATCAAACTGAAAAGTTCTCAGAAGCCCAGAAATGTGGTCAAGCACCCGATTTCCGGGTTTCTTAATGCATTTACCAAATCGACAGAATTCATTTTATTCTCTTACTGAAACAAACCACACGACAGAAAACAACTTTTGTCTCTGAATCTGTCAGAGTGCATTTCGCAGTGCTATTTCCCCTGGTGTGTGTTCCAGTTAGGCAAAGTGGGGGCTCGGGGTGAGCCAGCGTTAACCTGGAGTGGCTTCTCTGGACATGCCGAAGTGACAGGTCGCACTGTGGCTCAGGTTGAAGAATCCTCCCTGTGCAGTGTCAGAGTCTGGTTCAACTGCACCAGGTCTCGGAGGTAGGAATGAGGGTCAGAGACATGAAATGATCCTTTATGAGTCTGAGGAAAGGCATGCACTAGAACCCCAGCCTTCTGCACTGTGGCCAGGCTCTGGCCAGTACACTGTCCCGTGCATGACCTTGCAGAAATGTTTAGATAAGGTTTGCCTCAGTGACTGGAGCAGCATTGCAATGTGAACGTGTCATCTCTCACTCTTAGCAGAAATGACTTTTGTTAGAACACATTTCACAATTTGATATTTCACACACTGTAACCCTGCTCACTATGTCCCTGTCGCCCGCCAGCTGCTGCCACAGCGCTTGCCCCATGGCTCAAGGTTTTGCAATGAACACAATTAGCTGCTCCCAAGTCTTGACCATTTTTAGTGTATTTCCCTGTTCATCACCTATTTATTTTTTTCTATTTATCGTATCCTTTATTTTGTATCTTTGCTCACAGATACTATTTAACCAGAGCAGACAAAAAACAAAAACAAAAACAAAAAAAAACGCTAACTGAAATGTACATGTTCGTGGTGACTCAACGCAAAGGTGTGTCTCAGTGTTCGTAATGGTGAACTGACAACATTTTCTCTCCTTTTGCAAAATCGCCTTGTTCTTCCCTGGGTCTTTTGGAAATACTACAAAATGTATCCAGACCATCAGCTGCTTTTGTCTGGGGCAATTATGTAGTTGGTGTAGAGATCTAATTTCTTCCTGAGCTTGAGCAAGAGCCGTTTAATAGGAAACATTCGGCCTTTCTATACTTTTCAGCCTGTGCGTCTATCTATGGAGACCATCTCCTATTACCCAACTTCCCAAACACTAGTTTTTGAAGAATAAGGCCAAGCATGCTAATAGCACTCCTGCTGATGGCACCACGTGGCAGAAGCTGGGGGATTGAGTGGCTGAGGGTGGAGGACAGAGTGTAAATCCTAAACACCCACAATGTCCAGCTCGTGGCTAGGATAAGCAGGGGCAAGAGGGAAAGGGGGTGGAAGTATGGTAGAGAACAGAATCCGAAGGAGTCATGAGGATTTGATAACTGGGTGAAGGGCCAAAGGAAAAAAAATAAGAATGGATGGGATACATCGAGAGAAAATCATACAGGCAAATAAAGGTCAAAGGCACTGGAATGAAAAGAGGAGGCACAGGGGAGGGGGAGGAGCTGGCCGAGGGTCAGAAAGGCCATACAGTGTAGAAACAAAACAAAGTACATGGGGAAAAGAAGAAGCCGGTTCCAGGAAGTCTCTGCCTAAACATTCAGTGACTCACTAGTGGAAGAAAAAGCATCCGCATCAATGGAATAGCCATGGGTGTGGCAGGCCTCCTGGGGGTGACAAGCCATGGCAATCGCTGCCTCGAACAAAACAAAATGATAGCCCATGGGTTCCTAGAAATAATTAATAGTTTACCTTCCGTTTATAAAGGTTTTTATGTTTTTTATCCTCACCCAAGGACATTTTTGCATTTATCTTCAAATAGAGCAGGAGCCAGGGCGGGAGTGGGGGGGACAACCACCGATGTGAGAGACATCAACTGGGTGACAGGGCCGGGGACAAACTGCAACCGAGGCACATGCCCTTAGCGGGAACCAAACCCGGGACTCTGGTCCACGGGCCGACGCTCTAACCACTGACCCAAACCAGCCAGGGCATAAAGATTTTTTTAAAAAAGGACACAAGAATGTCAGAAAGCACAGCATGGAGGAAAGACAATGGCCCGGACACTGGGGGCCCAGCTGGAAGCTCTAGATCCACAGGTCCCTTGGGTCCTTCTAGCTGGCAGTGTTCTCCAGTCGCAGGTGCTTCCCATCTCAGGGAGCACGGGCCACATGCCACTCCACTCTCGAGTGGTAGCTGGTCTAGTCCCCCAGTCAGAAAGCATGTAGTTAGTGTCACAAGATGAGGCCAACTACGGTTGAATGACGGCTTCTGCTGGCAGTTCTCATCACAGCCCCTCGTCCACTGCTCTCTCCCAGCACCAAGAGGGGCTGAGGGGAGGATGTGTTCACTTCACACTTCAACCCGGGCTCCCTGCCTCCTCCCATTGGCCCAGCTCCACAGTCAGGCACACGCTGATGTTGTCCTGGAAGCCTCTCCAACCCTAGAAAGGGTTTCCAACATCTTGGGTTTTGTGCTCCACTTCCTCGTGTGGATCTGAAGCACCTATTTTGTGCATGATTTAGGAGACGACATCAGCTGCATTACCTCTTGGGTAGGAGGGACATAACCCTCATGGTATTGTTCAGTGGTTTCCTAATCACCAGGAGGAGCTAAAGAGTTATTTTCTAAGCTGGTATCACGGATCTTTTATACTTCATCTGCTTTCCAAGGAAGATGAGAATTTTTTTTTTAATGATGCACAATGTGATGCATGCACAATCCCCAAGTCACAAGAGGGCTTTTTGTCCCAAATGCCAGCGTGAAGAACAGACTCCAGGATCAGGAACTCCTCCACTATCACTCTTTGGAGCAACTCCAAGCATGTTATTTACAATTCCTGGCTTTTACGTTGTCCTGTATAAGACTATGTATTGCTCATTCTGCAGGGAAGTTGGAATTCTGTGGAATGACTCAAAGTGGAGAGCAATGTGGAGAGCCCTGCAATGGAGGCAGGCAGGGTGGCCCTGGACTTCCAAGAGCAGGCTGCATTTCTAACCCTGAAAACCTAACTCACCAATGGATTTGGTTTTACTTTCAACTAAGAGAATTTCGGAGCTATAACAGGCAATGTGAGGGCTTGGGGGGAAAAAAGAAACAGTAAAAACGAGAAAAGTGAATATTAGAAACCAAATTAAGGATTTCTTTTTATCAAGGTAGTCAGCACTTTGGGATAAATGCCTAATAGAGGGGAATTGACTCAAAAGCCATACATGGATGTTGAAGGTGGATTTGGGAAGATGTTAAAACTCATCCTGCTTGTCCAAGTCGTCAGGCCCTTGCTGGTACAGAGACACCTTGATGTGAACTGTGAATGCGCCTGTGTTCTGAACCACAGCTTTGCCCTTGGGGATAGTTTGAAATGTGAATCTTTCCCCAAAACCCCCAACTGAAACATGACACACATTGTGAACATCACTCTTTGGGTGCTTTAACTGTGTAATGTGAGAATGGGAAGGGAAAAAACGGGACCAATTTAGCGCAGATTTTCTGTCAGTGATGGATGCCATCGACAGCCCCTGACGGTTCACTCTACTCTTCTCTTTTGGCGTTTGCTTCAAGCTTTTTTTTTTTCTTTTTTCTTTTTTAAGTGTATTTGTAAAGAAAGGAAAAAGAAGTGGAAAGTCACGGAAGGAAGTGAGCCCAGCTCCCGCACGGTCTAAGCAGAGCAGGAGTCCACCTGCCGCATTCCCTATCGGGGCACGTCTGTGCGTCACTGTCAGGAATATGGCTCCCCGGCAAGGGCGGCCCTGCCTCTCCATCGGTCCATCTGCAAACACGCCGTGTTCCCTCTGCTAACGCCACGTGCCTGTGCAGCCTCTAGCGCGAAGACTAAGAACCCACCGCAAGGTGTCCTTTCTCCCATTTCTTTACGTCTCTTACGTAGCCCGGGAATTTGGTGAAGAAGGCAGTCAAATCCAATGGGGGCACACATGACACTAACGAGCTACCAGCTCCAAGATCCCCGGAAAAGACCCTGCGCGGCGTGTCTGGCCTCCGCAGCCACGCCAGCGGGCGCCCCAGCCGGGCGCGTCCAGCCCGCGGACCACCCCCGCAGCCGCCTCTGCGCGGCCAGGGGCAGAGGACCTCCTTAACAGGACCTCGTTCACCACTCTGCTTATGCCGTCACCTTCGCCCTAATAGTGTAGGGGCGGTGTTTGTGCGTCGTGCTTTCTCCTCCCGGGGAGAGGCGCCCAGGCCTCGTAATCGCTGCCTACGCAGCCCCGCGTGGCTCGGACCGGCCGCCCGGCCCCTCCCCCGCCTGCCAACCGCCAGGGTTCGCAGCTCGCCAGCGCCCCCCACCCTCCCCGCTATGTCTCTCCTGTCGCCCACCTCGAAGAGGAGGGGTCTTCACGCGAGTGTGCGGGCAGAGGCGGGCGGAGGTCCCTGCCACTCCCGAGTCGCCGCAGCCCGCGGCCGGGTGCTCGGCCGGCAACAGGTAACCCGGCCGGCTGCACGCTCCGGGAGACAAAAAGCGCTTCGGCGAGAGGGCGAGGGTCGCAGGGGTCATCGAGGGGCTGCGGCGACCGGGAGAGGAAAGGAAGCGGGAGGCGGGGGTACGGCGAGGGTGAAGGTCTCGGGCACCTCCCCAAGCTCGCCCTTTCTAGGCGGCAGAACAGGCCGTTGCGCAACCCTGGAGCGGGACGCAGGTCCTCCCGGCACTCGGGCGGCAGCAACGGCCGTGGCAGGGGAGGGGCGCGGGCCTCTGGTGGCGCCGCCCGGAGGGGGAGCAAAAGGGGCGGGAGGGGCGTGGCGCGGAGAGCCCGCCCCCGTCGGCTGCGGCCATTGGCGGCGGGCGGGGGGCGGGTGCGGGCGCGGCGATTGGGGCCGCGGTCGGCCGTCACGGTGGGGCTGGCGGGCGACGACGTAGCGCGGCGCTCGGAACTGACCTACTAACACACATCTCCCGGCGCGGCCAAGGCGCCCGCGGAGCCGGCGTGCCGCCCGCCTTCCGAGCCGCGCCCTCGCCTCCGCCCGGGAGCCCGGCCCCAGCCCGAGCCCCAGCGCCGCCGGGCCCCGCTCCCGGCCCTCATTCTTTCTCCCCGCCGCCCGGCTCGCGGGCCCGAGAGCAGGAACACGGTAAGCGCTCCGCCCACTGCCGACCCGGCCCAGCTCCCGGCTCCCCGCCCGCTCCCGGGGCGCGCGGCCGCCGGGCGCCAGGCGCCGGGCGCGGACCAGCCAAGTGTGCGCGGGGCATCCGTTACATAAACTTTTGCTGCCTTGTCAGGAGGGGACTCGCCACCTTAAGGTGGCTTCTTTGATTGCAGCGCCCTCGCGCCGGCACGTAGACCCGGCTGGTTTGAGCTCCCCCCGCCGCGGTTGCATAATGTCTCCTGATTTCGGGAAAATTGATGTGGTGGAGAGAAGCGGAGACTGAGCCGAGGCTGAGCCGTCTCGAGAGGGAAGGGCAACGCTGTTTCCTTTCTCGTGCCTCCTGCGGGGCTGGCGGCGGGGGTGGCAGGGCTGAGGGGGGACGGCTGAGTAATGGGAAATAGTCTTGATTTTCTTGAGAAAGGGGTGGTGGTGTGAACAGTGACGGCGCTCAGAGAATGCCTGCGCGGCGTTTGTTTTTGTCCGGGCTGTGTGCGCACAGACGTTTTCCACCGCGTTTGGCGTCAGCGTGTTGTACCAGCGCTCAGGGAGGTTGTGGGTTTGTCCTTGCATACATTGCATAATCTCTGCCCACGGTGAATGATTGGCAAGGATTACGGTTGATCTGGGAATGTGAGCGTACGTGTGCAATGATTTGGTAATTTTAGCGCACGTTGAGTATTATTAGATCGCTCTTTACATCTATAGTACGTCCCAAATAAAAAGGAACGTTTTAAAACATTCCCACAGAACGTGAAAAGAGAGTTCCTCGGGGTGAATTCTGGTCGTTGATACTAGCAGGGTCCGCTCCTTAGGTGTTCCGAATTCTTATTTTTAACCTGGAACGAGCCGTTGTGACGTTTGCCTTCCCACCTTCCTAATTTTAATGCATTCCTTCCAGTCAGCCCTTTCCCTCACCTTATTGTCGTTGCTTTTTCAGACACGACATGACAGATCACATAATAGTTTCCTGGAAATGTTGTATTATGTAACTGCTGGATTTGCTGGCAGTGAGCATAGGAAGAGGGAGCTAATTATGTGATTTTATAATCTTGTTACAAAGAAAGTAGGACAGTCTCAGCCTTTAAATGTCATTGTGACCGTTTTTTTTAAAGGGGTATATTAATAAGGAAAATAGACAACCAAGTAAGCATTGAGTTTGCTTATGCTGCCTAATGTATGCCTTTTGCCCTAAATGAAATGTGGGTTCGTCTAAATTTAGTCCTATCAAATTTTAACAATTGTGGCCTCCCAGTTCTATTTCTGGTGTTTTTCTCCAGGGCTCTCTGCAAATACGAGTTCAAGGCCATTTGCTGTAGTTTTAACTCCACGCCTTTGGAAACCTTTGATAAGATTGTATTTTTAGGAAGACATTTCGTAGAGCCTGGTGATTTGCTGGATTCTGACTCTCGTTTATCTTTTTAGAGAACAATTTAGGAAAGTGCTGTTCCTGAGTAAGCAGGGCCAGATGTCACCTTCTGGTCTTGGCTTTTGTAAATAAGAGCAGCGAATGAGGTCACAAGTATTTATTTCACAAAGTACTTTTTTTTTTTCTCCAGACCAGATATGATTTATGGGAAACAAATATAGGTTAGTAGATTGTATTTTTGCCTGGATAACCTAGTTTTATTTGTGTGAGGATAGATGAATATACCACAATGTACCCCGATTTTAGGTTTCTTCCTGAGCTCTTACGTAGTGTAAGCATGTGTTACTATATATGTATATGATGGCGTGTCCATGTCAGATTTTCCTAAGGTAACCTTTAAATAATTTAAAGGGCATCGTTGTGGTGTGTTTAGGGGTGGGGCGCGTATTATAAAGATTCCCCACTGGAACAAATTATATTACCCCAAATAATTGCAGTCGCTTTCCCAGGCCCCCAGTGTCAGACCCTGACCTACTTTGAAGCTGGGGCTGGCCTGCTGGGGGCCGAGTAGCGTCACCTTCTGCCCACGACCTTGCAGCTCGATCCTCCCTCCTGCGGCCCGTGGAGTGTGGAAGGTGTGAGGGTGGCGTGTGGGGGCCTCGAGGAGGCATTCCGGAGCACCCCGGGCGGCGCTTCCGCTCTGCGGCCTGCGATCCAGCTCGCCCCGTCCCCACATTCCTTTGTTCTGGCGCGGGGGTCCTGGCAGTGCCGAGGCCCTGCTGCGCCGCCCACTTGGCGGGGCGGGTCCCGGGGAGGCGCGGTACGGGGGGCTCGGAGGGACCGCCCCGCCCCGGGCCAGGGAGTGCGGGTGCGCGGGGTTCACCACCGAGGGAGGGGGGAGGGGAGCAGGAGGGGGAAGAGTACGGGAGGGGCAGGGAGCGGAGCTGGAGAGGCCAGGGGCTGAGCTGGAGAAGCGGGGGAGGGGGGAGTACCCAGCACGAGGCTATGCCCCGAGAGGGGGCAGCTCCGGGAGGCCCTGCCGCCTGGCCCTCTGCACCGCGCGCGCCTCCGAGCACCTTCTGCCCGGTGAGCCTCGGAGCATCGCAGACACCATTGTTCCAGAGGCTTCATTGTATTTCGGAGTCGAGCCCTCCGGATTCTCGAAATATGAAAAAGCCCTAAGAAAGCCTTCCAAATGCTCACACTCCCCAGAAATTGGGGGTAGGGACGCTCCAGCCTCGGTGGTGCTGGGAAGGAGGGACTCAGCTGGAGCGGCTAGTTAAGTCCATGTACTTTTCTAAACCATTAGTTCATTCTGTCAAAGGCTAGAGTGGAGAGTCTCCTGAATTCAAAATAAAACAACATCAAAGCACGCATAGACGTGGCCGCCCTGTGGTGAGGGGGCAGGCCTGTCGTCCTGGCCTGCGCGGTCCCGGCGGTGCTGGGGGTCACGGCAGTGAGGTCAGGGCGACATCGCAGGTGTTCTCAGAAAGCACACCGTTGACTTTGTTTAAAAGTTGGCTTCATGGGATCATACCCCACACCATCCCTTACGTTCTGTCTCTTGAATTTCAGGCCACTGTCAGTAGTTCGAGTCCTCCTTTGGTGAAGTGTTAAGAACACGGGCTCTGGGCTGGCAAGAGCTAGGTCCCAGGGCCCCAGACTGACCTTGGTTGGGTAGGGCCCTTATTTCTGTGGGCCTTGGGGTAAACTGAGGGGATAAAACCTGTGCAGCTGGGGGCAGTTGTGAGGAGCTTACTAAATGCTTCCTGTATCCAGATTTACAAAATAAATAAATAAGGTATTCACCTTCATTATCTCTGCAGTAATAGTCAGGACTGAAGTTTGTATTAAGCCTATCATTAAAGATCCTTCTTGAAACACTTGTTTATTCTAAAAATTAGTAACTTTTTCCTCAAAACCCCTTGCCCTTATGGTCAATGAATTACATTTGAAGGGAGTTCTTGACAGGATTGCAGAACCCCAAGTCATTGGGTTCACGTTTGGGGAACTGTTTGAAGGAACAGAGAGATGTGTTGATGTAAAAGTGCCAAACAGCTTGGCTTTTTCCAGTTCCCTTGAGCTCTGTGTGGCCTTTTCCTTGTTTTGGGGTAATCTCTGCATCTAAAATCCGATGGTCTTGAGATCTGGGAGGGAGTGTGTGTAGACCATCAGGTTGAAATTGCTGATGTATGGCCCCTTTGACTTACGAAGAAGAACATTATATTTGGTCTGCCCTGTCTTTGTGACACAGGGCAGTTCTTCAGTAAGAAGCAGAGAGGCTACAAGGGCCTAGAACTAATCATCAGCGCCGTCGCCATGGCCTGCTCATTCCTCAGAAGTGAGATTAGGAGCTCGTTCTGACTAAACACTTGCCTGCGTGTGCCAAGCGCTGTGTTTTGGGGGGGGAGGCATTGTAGACCAGGAAATGCAGACGTAGAGACAGTGCCAAGCAGCCTGAAAACAGGACGGGAGAGGAGGCGACCGGGCTGTCAACACCCCCCTGCCTCTCTCCTCCCCTCCCTGAGTGTGAGTCCAAGCTCACTGTAATTTTTGAAGCAATTTCCTTTTCTGTGTTAAAGGCTTATCTTTGCAAAGTGCAATTATAACATGACTGTGATGCAACAACCTGTAAGTTCAAACCCTTTGTTCGAGCCCTTCCCGGGTTGAGCAATGCGCCTGACTCACCGCGGAGTGGATATTTCTAGGTGACCTTCTGGCCCATGGAGTCAGTTCCCAGACGTGACTGCGATTGCAGCATGGGGTGGAAAAGGTGCGGTCATACTGCCGAGCCTTTATTTTTACCCGAGCTAAAATCACACATACTTCATTATTTCCATTGTAATCCAGATGGCATCAACGCGGTTAGAAGTTGTTTATTTTTAATTTGTATTGAGGAGTGAGCACACACTTGGGATTCCGTTCAAACTATGACAGAAACAATGTAATTGAAGTTTCCTTTAATATCCATCGCTTGTTTTTATAAGGTAGGCCTGTATTTCACGGGGTGAACACATTGTTTGATATCCTGTTATTTTTTTTTTTTTCTAAATTATACTTGAGTTGATTTTTCTCCAAATCAGACGCCTGTGAGAATGTCGAAAGAAATTGACCTTTGATCACAGACATTACATAAGAGTTTTTCAGTTTCAAAATGAATTTATATTACCACCACTCCCAATTATCTCTCACATTTCTTTGCAACTCACTTTCCCGTACTATGAAAAGAAAACGATTTCTCATATGGTTTTAATTAGAGAGCATGAGCTTGTTTTATGATAAGAAAGTTTAGTAAGAGTTTACTACATGCCTTTCATAATGATTGGTGTGGTTTCATTGGAATCAGAATATGTATAAGCCTTTTAGTTATCAGAACATGCTGTCTTTTATTAATTAACTTTCCAGGGATCTTAAACTGCAATTAAGTTGCCTTCCAATAAACACTAAAAATACACTTTTATAAAAACCCTGTCCTGTTCCTAAGGCACATAGTACAGCAAAGGACATGTAATCATCTGCTCACTAGGAAAGAAAGGGAGATTAAAAAGAAAGAATCAAAAAATCAAACTGAGGCCCGGCAGGTGTAGCTTAGGGGTTGAACATCGACCCATGCACCAAG